ATTACCGCTGTCTCATGGGATGCTGGGGCTTGGCCAGATTCGGCAACCTCTGGTCTGACTCCACCCTCTAGTGTACATGGGAGAAGGCTGAGTGGGCAAGGCCAGCGACCCACTCAGGTCACCTACCCAGGAGAGCCTGGGGTAATGCAGTAAAGCAGGACATCCACTCAGGCCCGATCTCCAGCCCAGGGCTCCCTCCACCACTCTCAAGGAGAAAGACAGCAGAGATCTGGTCTTCCTACCCCCTGTCCAGCCTCAACAAGTCAACTAGAAAGAGTCACCAGTGAAGGGAAGACTTTTTAAGTCAGACGGAGCCTCCAGGGCCTAGACAAGGAAAACTAGCAATTGTTCATAAAGCAGAGACTTAACTTGGGCCTCACACAGACCTCACTTAGTGCCTGCCACTTTACAGTGTTTGACACAAGTAATTCTCACAGTGCTGTGAGGTAGGGATCATGACTGTGTCCATTTTGCAGATGTGGAAATGGAGGTTCAGATGCACCCAAGGTTAGCAGAGCAGGGCCTTACCAGGGTGGTGTGGCTCTAGGGTCTGAGCTGTTTCCTACTGCTTCTCTGTGCCCCCCTGGGAGAAGAGCAGCGATGGGAGCAGCCACTCCCTATGAGGTGCCCTGGGTCAGGCCAGTGTGAGCACATGCTGTCTCCTGTAACTGTCCCCTAGCAGCTCCACATGCAGCTAGAACACAGAGGGCCCAACACTTAACAAGGGCATCAGAATCCCCACCTTGCTGGGCCCCACTCCCGGAAGCAGTGCTCCTGGAGGCCTGGGGGGGGGCAGTGCCTAACTCCCAGGGATGCTCCTGCTGCTGGTGGGGGACCACACGGGGAGGACCCTGGTCCAGCACATGGCAGGCGCTCCGCGACAGTAAGATGGAGCCACTGTAGGAGCCTCACAGAGTTTCTAAAGCCTGTCTGGCTATGTGACCTCAGGGACTTAGCAAAGCTCTCAGACTAAGACTCAGTTCCAAGTTTTATGGCTCCAGACTTTCCAGTTGTCCCAGCCCGGAGGCCTGGAGTAGCTGGGTCCTTGGTGCTTAGCCGAGGCACACAGACAGGTTCAGACATATTTTTGGAAAAGAAAACCCACTGTTGCAGAGGAAAATACGACAGTGTTTGGGCAGTTTTGGTGAAAAGCAATGAAAAACATCTGAATCAAATTGCCTTTAAAATTACGCCATTTTAAAAATTAAAGGGGAAAAAAGCTCTGGGCCAAAATGTGTTTTAAAAAAGATTTATGGCCTCCAAAGCATTAACACCACAGTTCAAGAGGCTGGGAAAGGACCCACTGGCCTGGGCTTCCGCTGTCAGCTCCCGCCAGACAGGTGATTCACGGAAGCTGCTCCCAGTCTGACCACAAGTCCTGCTTCGCCCTCTGCCACTGCCCTGTTCTGCTGTGCATATGTGGGCTCAGAGAGGTAGCGACTCCAAGTGGCAACGCCTAGCTCCCAGCAGGTCCAGCCTCGTGATACCTAACGGAGGTAAAGCAACAAGGGCCAGGCAGCCCAGGTGACTTTTCAGGTTCCTCTGCAAGTAAGTCATGGCCCCAGATCTCAAAGAACTGGCCATCTGGAAGAGTGAATGTGCAGTCAGCCTGTTGGACAGAGGAGTGACTTGCTATGCCTGGTGTGGAGACTGGACAGGTACCATCATGTCCCAGCGGACTGGGCTTTAACACCCAAATCACCCACCAACAGTCTAAAGTCACCACCGGAAAGCAAATACCAATAAAGACTCTCACAGTGTTACAGGGAAGAGATGGAGCCTCAGACCTTGCTCTCTGTTAAAGCAGCAGGTAACCCTGGGCAAGTCCCTTCCCTACCTCATCTCAGTCTCATTTACAAAACGGAGAGGCTCTGAGCACCCATGAAAAATAGATGTGCCTGTCACCTCAGCCTCGTGCCCAGCAGCTCCGTGTGCTGGGAGACGTCCAACGACAGGCTCTGGAAGAAGATGGCAGGAGCACACAGCCCGGATTTGTAGGGTTTGCCAATCTTCCTGCCTTAATTACTCCCACTGTGGCCAACTTCTAGTTACCAACCTAACGTCAAGAGCGGAAGAAGTGGACAATATCTACATTCCATCCATACAAGTCAGCAGGGGCTGGCTCTAGCCCACTGCTGCTCTCAGAGAAGTTAACAGTCTCATAGAGGGTTCTAGAAGGCCGAAGGTCCTTAAGAACCAAAGGAATAAGCTTCCTGGAGGCACTGTCCATCACCCTGAGTCCTATCTGGGTGACCACCACTAATGATACTTCCAAGTAATCTAAAAGTTGTGACAGAGGTAAGATATGGTTTGTACCCTGCTTTTTTTCACCTACTATTAGAACACAGGCACATCCTCCCCCCACATTATTATAAAGTCTTGATAAACATTTTCAGTGGCTGCATAATGTTCTATTCAACAAATGTTCTACAGTTTGATTCATCAGTCTCCTCTCCTGGAACACACAAGCTGAGTGTTTGTGGCTTATCACACATCAGTCCAGAGGATGGCTGAGTCTCGTCCAAGAAGGTGGGAGCACCATGGTGAGCGACCAGCCACCATAACAAAGGGACCAGATCCTACAAACTGGCAAGGCTGCGAGGTGTCCAGACATGTGTGTGGGGTGGAGAGAGGGGTAGCCTATATTCCAGGCCATCTTCTGACCGCGTGATCCAATGCCACCCCATTCCTGGTTCCAGGGGCTTCAATCCTGCCACTGGGACTATATGGCTCTGGTTCTGAGAAGGAACATACCTCTGTAGGCAAAAATATTTCATTTCCTTGTGATTTTCCTACTGTGAAAAACCAGAAACCGCCTAAGTGTTCAGTGTCGGAAGACTATCACAAGATCATGAAGACTTTGGAGGACATCTGGGGAAATGGAGCCCAGAATGGAAAAGGGCACAGCCCTGGGGATGTGGCTGCAATTAGGACCCAGGCCAGTCCCCTCTGGGCAGCACCACTGGGCCTCCCCAAACCCCCACCCATGGAACATGGTGTCATGGTCCACCAGCACCGGTGCCCCGGTTCCAAGATACCCCGTTCCAAGGGAAAGGGGCAGTGAGGGGGGTCCACGGGGCTAGCTGCTCCTGATTCGCGACTTATTTCAAAGACAGGTCGCACCCACCCTTTGCTGGAAACGCATCCACCAAGTGCTCCTCTGGGGCTGGGGAATGAGGGGACAAAGGCCTGCAGGGGCGGGCAGGGTCAGCATCCAAGGGTGAGGGTGCGGGTGGGGAAGAGTGGGATTGGATGCCTCCGTGGAACCACTGTCCCCCAAGCTATAGGCCTGCTGCCCGTTCCCCCAGATTGAGATCCCCTCCAGCATTCGCTGTTATTGCCCATTGGTGACAACCAGATCTGACGCTAGCGGGGCTTCCCCCAATTACAGCCTAATCACTGTCTAATTACTGCCTAGGTCTGTTCTCTGCTGCTGCAGATGGCAGTAAATCTCCCTGTGTGGCAGTTCCCCAGCAGCTCATGTCTCGGGAGAGGCTGACCCAGGCCGAGGCAGGGAGAGCAGAGGGCTCAGGGGCAGGCCAGAGACGCACTGAGGCCCAGGCTTGCCAGAGTTGCCTCAGGCCACAGAGAGCCCTATGTCTGTCCATCAGGCAGAGAGGGACAGCTTGAGCAGTCCCCACAGGGCAGGGTTAGCCGTGGAGAAGGAACAGATCACATGCAGACATAGCCAGGCCTGGAACAAGCCAGCCCGGGGAACAGGCCACGGGACCTCCCACTCTCAGCCTCCCCTCCCCACTCCTCCCTGCCCTCTTCTCCTGACACTACCCTGTGTGGGGAGCCCCCTTGGGCTTTGGCTCCTTCCTCCACGCAGCTGGTAGCAGAGGGAGGGACAAGGGTCCAAGGGCAACATCCTGGTAGGGAGGCCAAACGCCCACCTTCCCATGGGAGCAAGAAGCTTGGGCTCCGTTCTCCCTCTCCTGACTTGGGCCGCAGGGCCTGATAATAGCATCCAACTGAGAATCATGGGCGGGGATGAGGGGTGGAATAAAAACAAATGTGGTAACACCAACCCATAGGTCCTCCAGTTCACTCCTAGAAATACCAGCTCCCTCCTCCCGCTCCGAGCTTCTGCCGATTCCCTGCGCTCCAGCCACCAGCTGCGCCAGGCGTGGACCAGGAACACCAGCCTCACCTGAGTTCCGGTGGGAAATGCAGAAACTCCGCCCCGCCTGCCCGACAGGCTCAACTGGGCTCCGCACTTGGGCAAACCCCGCCCCCGCCGCATGTGTGAGCGCATCAAAGCATGAGAAGCCCCGCCCATGCTTGCACACCAGGAGCCATGAGGGCGTCTCTGCCCCCGGTTGCTCCCTGAGCTGTGCCTGAGCGGCAGGAGCAACAGGCCATGACTAAATGCACTTGAATAAAAAGGGAAAGAAAAGAAATCTCAGACTCTCCATTCCTCAGAGACAGAAATAGTTCTGCGGCCTCCAGATGGACTGCGCGCACGCAAGGGGAGGTCTCTCCTTCCCGCCAAACTTTCCCGACGGGATGCTGGCGCGGACCAGTGGAAACCAGAGACTATTTCTCTTCGGGGCAGTAAATGAGAGGCTGTGGCTCGTGGAGTCCTTCTGTTATAATTAAGTTGGCCAGAAATTCACCTAAGGATACTAAATTCCGTACCTGACCCTCTAATTACAGCCAGAAGGGATCAGGAGACAATTACTTTCCAAAATAGTCCCTGGTGGGCCAGAGGCCAGGAGCCGTGTCTCTGGCACATCTCGAATGTGCCAAGCGAACGCACCTGGGGCAGCCCGGCAGATTGAGGGCGGCCAGACGCCCCCTCCCCCCAGAAACCTGCTGGCGAACATCACTGGGCCTGCGATCCCCGGGAGCGGGGGTGGGGGTGGAGAGGTGGGGTGGGGGGCGCCCTCCTCTTCGCCCCCCATAAACCCAGCATGCCTGCCCGATGACATCGGCCACCCGTCTAATTAAATCCTAACGGGCTAATGAAAAACACGCCTGCTGCCCGCCCAGCGTACCTCCGTGGGCAGCTATCGCCGCCGCGGCGGCCACTGCGAGAGCAGAAGCCTTCCTGCCCGGGTCGGGGAAAGCGGCACCCTCCAGGCTCCCACTTTTGGCGTCCTTCTTCTCCGTGGCAGTGACTGAGGCCGACGTCTCCATCTTAGCCGCTCATAGTCCTGGGTGACAGCCCTGGAGGAAAAGACAAAGACGTTCACTAACATGGACTGCCCCCAGACCCAGCCGGGATCCGCCGACCCAGATTCCCAGCCGCCGCCCGCCGCCACCACCGAGGCAGCCCACTTAATTCTCTTCTAATTGGGAAGGAGGGTTTAATTAATTTTGAGAATTATTAGTTCTGAGATTCATCTGGTCTTCTCGGAAACGACCTCACGGACACCAGCCAAGCGCATTCATTGCCCCCTACCCCAGATTTTTAAGATCTGAGTCCCAAGATCCTACAGCCCATAGTGACAAGGAGCAAGGACCACTTGGAGAAATGAAGTCCAAAGAAACGGCCTCCAAGGCGGGACCGCAGGAAAATAAGAATAAACAGAATAACAATGACTTAGGGGTCCTCGAAGGAAAGCCCTTGTTTTCCTGTTCCATCCCTGCTCACCAGGATCCACCTCTCCTTTACTTGTGCATCTGTGCATTCATGCATTCATTCATTCATTCAACAGATTTTTCCATTGTTTACTCTCTGGCGCAAACTCAGTCCACACATTTTTAAGCCCCTGTTATATATCAGGCATTCGTCTGGTGCCAAAGGTACAGTCCACAGAGTTTACATTCTACTTGGGAAAGGGATCCTATAGAAGAGCAGGAGAAATAAAGGTATATTTATATGTTTCAGTGGGTGAGAAGTAGTACAAAAAGAGAAAGCTAAGTAGTAGGATAGAATGGGGTGGGAGGGGAGGGGCCACTGCCTTGCCCCCCTGAGGATGGAATGGGGTGCCCCGTGAAGCCCTGAGGAAACCCATGGCAGCCAGAGGGCAGAGGCAGGAGCCACGGACCTGGAGCGGGTGCGGAGGCTGGCTGGTCTGTGACAGGTCTGATAGCGTATCGGGGTCCTTCTGCAATTGTGTGCAAGCGGATCTGGGGGGAAAGGGCACCACAGGAATGACCCAGGAAGACACGATAGTGGTCTGGGTTAAGGGGGTGGTGGTGGGATGCAGAGATCACAGGCCTTCTAGGGCTTGGACGTGGGGTGTGTTAGAAAGAGGGGGATCACGGTGTAGTGGGGAGGGTGCAGGGCACAGGTGATGCCCCAGCAGCTGAGTGCTGGGTCACAAGCGAGACCTGCACCACTGTGCCTCATCACTCACAGATACTGCTAATAACTAATTATTTGTATCAAGTTACAGAATAGAAATGGGAAAATCACGCTTCTTAATAGAAGAGTAGTAGTGTCCAAGATGGCTCCTATTTCTGGCTGAGGACCTAGATCAAAGAACGGTGGTGCCATTGGCTGGGAGGGAGCAAAGCAGGTGAGAAGCAGGTTTGGGGCAGAAATCAGGAGCTCAGTCTGTCCAGGCCATGTAAAGTTTGAAATGCTTATTAAGTCACGCAGAGACTGTTGGAAATGTTAAGTTCAGAGCTCGGGAGAGAGGTAGAGGCTGGAGACAGGAGAATGGTGGCCATTGAGGAAGATCTCCAAAGGATGGGGTGGAAACGAAGAAGAGAAAGTTCCAGAGCTAAGACAGGGACATGCCAGCATTTCTGGGGAAGACAGAATAAACCAGCCAAGGAGAGTAAGCAATGGGGGAAGGAGAAGGAAAAAACCACCAGGAGAGTGTGGGGGTGTCAGAAGCAAAAGCAGGAGTGAGATGCCTCGAAGAGGGGGAACAATCAGCTCTCTCCCAAGCTACTGAGAGATGCAGACGGTGAGGCCTGAGGGCTGACCAGCTTCAGTCACATGAGGTGACTGGGGCCCAGGGATGGGGTTGGGGGGGGTGGGTCAGGAAACGAGTGGAAGTAGGAGACACAGAGGCACAGACAATTTAGTTGGGAAATTCAACCAATTTACAAGTTCCACAGAAGAAGCAGAAAATGACACAACAGCTGGACAGTCCAGAGGTCCTCCACTGCTGCGTCAGAAAGGAGGCGGGGCCAGGTTGCAGGCCCGTGAGAAGGGAATGTTCTGGTCAGGAGCCTGTGGGTTGCAGCAGGGCAGAAACCAAAGACAGTGGTCAGCTCCATCACCAAGGGCCTCAAGGTTAAATTCACATCGGCTGGTCCAGAACTTTATCTTGCTAATAAATCCACTCAAAACTCTCGTGTCTTTCTAAATTGAAAACGGGAAGGGCTCAGAACAATGATATGAGGTATCAAGGACGGTGCCAAGAGAACAGCCCGAGTCCTGGACCCCCTTTTTCCGTCTGCACCCACCAGCCCATCCACTTCCACAGTCTTTCAAAACTCACTGTCAAGGAAACCCAAGGCAGATGGAGGACAGAGAAACCTCCCTGAAGATTTTGTCGTGTTCTGGGCTTTCCTTGGGCCTCGAGCCTGTTTGTGTATGTACTCTGTTCTTCAAGGTTCTGCCTATAGGTGAAGGGCTCGCCAGCAAGGCACCCTGGCTCATGGCTGCTCCACCTTCCCAGCCCCCTTAGCGGGCCATAGGAACCACCCTCCAGGACACCTAAGCTGCACCCTTGGGTCACCTCCCTCTTCCCCATTTTACTCCAACATCGGATCGGCTGGGAATTGCCATCAATTTCCCACAACACATCACCGGTGGGGCGTCTCAAGAAGGCTGCTCTGTATCAAGTCGGTCCCCTTCCCTTCCGCATCGGGGGTCCTTCCAAAACCACCTCTGATCCTCCTCCAAGGCTGTCCTCTCCCCCGACAGCCAGGCACCTTCCCCAAACCAGAATCTCATCACAACCCTCCCTTAGCCAAGGCCTTGCTGAGTCCCTTGGGCATTTCAACAAAGTCTTCTTGCAGCCTCCTCTCCCCACGTCTCCTTCACTCCCAGCCAGGTGTGACTAGCCCTGCCCTTGCACACCCCCAGCCCTCTGCACCAGCTGGGCCGCCCATCAGCAAAGCTTCACCCTCTCTGTGGGGCCCTACTGTTCCTTCAAGATGCCACGGGGACATCAGACGCTCAGGGAAGCACCCCAACTCCTCCCCAGTCAGGGTGGCCTCGGCTTAGGGATCTCTGCCTCCAGCCCCCACCTTCATATTGAATCTATCCTCACCTCCAGGTCAGGCTGGCATAGGCCAGCTCCTCAGGAATGCCTGGCAAAGAAAAGGGACCTTTGCGGCAGGAAACCACGGCCCTTTGAAATGCCAAGTGATTTCGTGAACAGCCTGTGTTTTCCTCTCAAAAAGTTCAGGTGAAGGAATTCTGGCCCCACATTGAAATACACCTTGAATTTGGAAGTAAGGACAAAAATAAAAATAACAGCTGGAACAACAAAACTTTAATAAGCATTTACCGGGTGCCAAACACCACACAAGAGTGATCTCATTTAATCCTCACAACATTTTACATAGAAAGAAACCAATGCTTTGGGGCGCCTGGGTGGCTCAGTAGATTAAACATCTGCCTTTGGCTCAGGTCATGATCCTAGGGTCCTGGGATCGAGCCCCACATCGGGCTCCCTGCTCAGCAGAGAGTCTGCTTTTCCCTCTGCCCCAGCCCCCAACTTGTGCCCTCTCTCCCTCTCTCTAATTAAATAAAATCTTTAAAAAAGAAAGAAACCAATACTCAGAGAAGTTAACTTTGCCCAAAGATGAACACTTTGAGGTGTCTGTCCCAGGCCTTGAGCCCAGGCTCCCTGCCCCAAAGCCGGACTCCCAGGCACCACAGTGAGCTGTCCCTTGCGTAAGGATCTGACAACACTAAGGGATTTACCCCGGAATCCCCTGGCAGGCACAAGTCCCTAACTGCTGTGCCCTGCAGATATAGGGAGCATGGTGCCAGGAGCCCAGAGGATCCCAGAAGCAGGATTTGACATTGTTCTTGCCCTAGTGCTGCTCCAAGGTAGCAAGATGGGTGGAAGGAGACCACCACCTGTCAAGGGTGGGCGAAAGCTGAGGCTGTTCGAGCTGCTTGCAAACACCGTGACGACGCAGGGGCCCCGGTCTGCTGGAGCCATCTGGGGCAGGACGGTGATACATTCATTCACTAACTCTTTATCTAGTCATTTTTTTTAAGATTCATTTATCCATTTATGAGAGCGACAGAGAGAAAATAGCATGAACGGGGGAAGGGCAGAGGGAGAGACAGAGGGAGAGAGAGAATCCTCGAACAGACTCCCTGCTGAGCACGGAGCCTGACATGACGCAAGGCTCGATCCCAGGACCCCAAGATCACAGCCTGAGCCAAAACCAAGAGTCAGCCGCCCCACCAACTGAGCCACCCAGGCTCCCCTCAGTAATTCTTTATTGATAGCTTCATGCCTCACACTGCGCTAGGCTGGGAGATGGCTCCCCTAAATGAATTGGGGGTCCTTGCCTGGGTTGGGTACTCCCCCACCACCATGGCACCTCTTACACAGCATGGTCATAACCTGCCACACCCCCACCTTGCTTCCTGCTGGGTTGTGATCTCCTCCAGGGCATAGCTGGGCCTTGCACCCTAGGTCCCCAGGCCCAGCAGAGCAGATGTCCAGAACCCTTGCCATGGGGTAAGGTGGGCCCTGGAAGCCAGGCCCGCGCATCTGGAGGGCACGGGGCTCGGTAGACCAGAAACAGGCAGAGGACTCAAGGCACCCACAGGGTCAGCACGTGTGACCCAAACCCAGCCTCAGTGGGGGGCTGGCAGACTCCTGAGGCATGGATCCAACCCTTTCCAAATGCAGATGGGGAAACTGAGGCCAACAAGTCAGAACCCTCAGACTTTAGTATCAGGAATGCCAAGCAGAGTGGTTCAAGGGACTGTGACCATTTCTGTGAAGGGACAGGAGGAGACTAGAAAGAAGAGCAGGAAAAGACTGGGGGTTTTCTTGGAGAAGAGTAGACGTGGCTCCCCGCCCTATGAGGGTGTCAGAGCGGGTGTTATCAACCCAAGGAAGTGAGCTGCTCCAGGCCACTTTCCACGGAGGGAAAAGGGCCAGGTCCAGAGCCAGGGCCAGGGGCAGTCATGCTGCCCAAAGCCTCAAGGTGTGTTGCTACCAAAGGACGCAGGTGAACGGAGTATGGGGAGAAAGGGT